GGGGGGGGGGGAGGTTTTGGCTTAGTTAATTTATGTAAAATATATATCCAGATTAACTGTGCAGGTTAACATAGAAATGATCTAAATGTGCAACTATAGTAGATACACTAATGCTTTGATGGCAATTGTATTTCTGATATTAATAATTCTGATACTGATAAGACGGGCCTTTTGATCTTTTTTGGGAAAGAGGTGTACATTACATTAATTTACTTTAGATGTAAATGATTTATTTAGACCTTTTACTGCCATGATATAAGCGGTAGGTCCTTTTGTGGAATCTAAGGATTATATATGTACTTCAAAATGATGAGTTTAATTTGCGGATGGATTCATTCCATAAAAGGTACAGATGGTTGAGGTTGCATTACATCTCTATGAAAGGTTAATATTTTTATGCCTGTTGTATTATACTATAATCTATTATATAAACAGTTGGATGTATGGTTAGGTGGGTAGATGGACTGTATATTAACAGTGAATCATCTTCATGTTCAGCAGTTCTTCAGAATTGTGGTAACAGTTACTCAAAATTGGAACGTTTTTGTAGAAGACAAAAAAAAAAACAATTTAATTTTATACAGACATTGACTTTCTCATCAGCCTTGTTATTTTATATAATATAGGTATGGCTTTTCCCTAATTTTTTAAACTGTGGATGGACACTTGGTTAAGTGCAATTATCCACTCACTCAGGGCTCATCTGTTTTCTGTACCATAATTCACGGTACATCACTTATTTACAGTGCAATTTACATGCCTGGGACAGGATCCAGTTCATCATGGCTAACATCAGACACTGAATCTTAGTTTGGCAGGCAAACTGTGGTTATTATATTTGAAGGGACTCTTTTGTGCAAAACTTTACTCATAAGAATTTTTCTGGTGGAAAAAAACAGAAATAACAATTGTCAGGTGCAAGGCAAATAGGCTTGATCATTTAAATTCTTCTGAACATGTAACCAATACTCTCAGGTAACACCTTTAATCATTTAAGCGTTAAGAGAGCCACAATTCTTTGTGGTTTGGAAGCCATTTTAAAACCCCAACTATTCTACTCATTCAACATTCAAATTCTGTGGTGTTCTGCCAAGCAGGAAAAATACAAGTAAATGTATGAATTCCTCTTCTACCTCAGTAGTCCTTTAAAGTACGTTGTTTTTTTATTATAACCAATAATTGAAATGTCCAAACAAAAGGATGCATGAGATCATGCATCCTACGCAATATACAGTGTAGTACCAACTGAGCTGTGTATTAAATCCATTAAACCAGGTGAAATATGACAAACTGTATTTAACCTTATACCATTAGGGTAGTTGCACTTCATGTATAATAAATTAATGCAATAATATTAATTAAAACAAAATTAACTGTCATAAAGTGTTAAACATTTAATCTGATCCAGATTGGAACTTGATGTTCGAGGAACACATGAAAAAACCATTTGTCATTCTGCTTGGTATAAACTTACTGTTGAATTTTTTTCCTGCCCTGCTGGTGACTGTGGAAGAGCAGATCAATCAAAAAAAAAACAAAAAAACAAAACGACCAAAATGTATAATGCAATAACCAGAAAAGAAGCAAGAAAAATTTGCTCAGCTGTTAAGCTCCGCCCTCAATGTCTCAAAAGAAATGGTTACACTTTCATGATGCATAGAAGAAGAAATGTTGACTTAACTTACAGAATATATATGGAATAACACGCCAGTAATTCATTATAAACTGTTGTATGATGAAGATCACTAATGCATTTATTGATTGTTTGTATTTTGTACATGTGATGCATAACAGAATTTATTCACGTTTGGTTTTAATAATTTGTGGTTTCTCTTATATGGCAGGTGATATTAGGTGCAAGGGGATGACCGAGCGGGTTCACAACATAAATCTCCACAACTTCAGTAATTCTGTACTCGAGACCCTCAATGAGCAGCGTAACCGCGGACACTTCTGTGACGTGACCGTTCGCATCCACGGGAGCATGCTGCGAGCCCACCGGTGCGTGCTTGCTGCTGGGAGCCCTTTCTTTCAGGACAAGCTACTCCTAGGATACAGTGACATTGAGATCCCTTCTGTAGTATCAGTACAGTCCATTCAGAAGCTGATCGACTTCATGTACAGCGGGGTACTGCGCGTCTCGCAGTCCGAAGCCTTACAGATCCTTACCGCTGCCAGCATTTTGCAGATAAAAACTGTCATTGATGAGTGCACTCGCATAGTCTCACAGAATGTGGTCTTGGGTGGGGCTAGTGGCTTCCCCTTCATTCGAGAGGACTCTGTACAGGAGACCCCCAGAGGTACCCCAGAGTCAGGAAGTTCGGGGCCTATCAGCGACACGGAGTCGGGGTACATGCAGCCTTCATCGCAGCAAAGTTTGGAGCGTGTCTATACGTCGCTCTACTCCTGCTCAAGCATCTCACTGCAGAACGGCACTCGGGAGCAGTCGTTCTTCGGCGGATCCATCGTAGGCAGCTATGACTCTGCCTCCGCAGCACAGAAAGACCAGAACGGACAGGATCCATCTTGGGTTACTCGCATCCACGAAAGGACGCAGCAGATGGAGCGTTTTCTCTCAACCCCGGAAACCACCCATTGTCGGAAACAACCGCGACCGGTGCGCCTTAAGACAGACAGCATGCACATAAAGCAGGAGGTGGAGGATGATTACGGCTGTTTCGGACAAGGCCGGGAGCTGGAGGAATGCGTGGAGGACGCTGATCAAACCGAAGGAGCTGAAAGTGAGCCCAAGGGAGAGAGCTTTGACTCTGGCGTAAGTTCATCCATCGGCACAGAGCCTGACACAATGGAACAACAATACTTGTCAGGCTTTGGAAGAGAAGGTACTGGGGAGGTCCTGCAAGGGGACGAGCCTCCTTTACAAATAGAGGTGACTGACTCCTCCCCAGAACAGATGAATGATGTTGACGATAGAGGCACATCACATAACACAGGGGAGCTTAGTCTCGGGCAGACGCCTGCAAATCCCATCATATCGCAGTCGCTGCCCAGTACACAGCTCTACATACGTCAACCCGACTCTCTTACCAGCAACCTGAGAATGCCTCTGACCTTGACCAGTAACACCCAGGTCATGGGAACCGCTGGGAACACCTACTTGCCCACTCTCTTTGCCACACAGTCAGCTGGAGGCAACAAGCCCTTTCTGTTTAGCCTACCGCAGTCTATGGGGGGCCAGCAGCCCCAGTTTGTGGCCGTGCCTCCTTCCAGTATGCCCCCTTTTCCTAACCAGATCGCAGCCCAGCAGCCCTCGACGCCGCAACAAGTTGGTGGAGGAATGGGCCAGGGTGAGAAGAAGCCCTACGAATGCACTCTCTGCAGCAAAACATTTACTGCCAAACAGAACTATGTAAAACACATGTTTGTGCACACCGGTAAGTACTCATGTTCTTTCCATTTTGCATGCACACCATAACGTACAGTGTTCTTTTATCTGATTCTTTCCTGAAGCAGTTCATGTTTTAAATATCCAACAGCATCGTAATATGTGACTATTAATATCATTAACGCGCATTAACAGGTGATCACCTTTGATTTTTTTTTTAGTTAATCCTGTCAAAAAATGTACAATGTGTTTTATGTGCTGATGAGACGCTTTTTTTTTTAAATCCGAAATGATTTACAGATGTGGCCCGTTTTTGCAGCTGGCTGCTTCATTGTTCGCAGATAGCTACCGATAGCTAAATAATTAATTTCCTCGCTATATACAACTTGAAAAATGGCAGCTTCTCACTCTCCACGTGCTGCTTCAGACTGATACCTAATTCCTATGTACAGAAACATGCACATAGCGAAAATTACTCTCATTATACATTATAACGCCTATACCAATATCATAAGCATATTATGGTCTTAATGTTATCACCGTTTTATTATCTGTCATATAAAGATTAATAGTGAATTACAAGGAACATTAATTATGTAAGCATTATTATACAGTATGTGATAATGGTTTATTAAAAACAGGGTCAGACTGAAGAGGTGACCATTCATATTGAATGCAATATCGATAACTGGAATATTTATGTTTCAGGTTGAAGGAATAGTTGTTTTAAAATGTATAAGATTTTACACTTTGTAGATCCACATGTAATAACTGCATTTACAATATTCAAAATATTTCAGACTTAAATATAAAATTCTAAAAGTACTGAGTGAAAGCTGATTTTTTTTTTTCTAATTAAGAGCAGTGAAATAAGTATTCGTCAGACTTGCATATTTACTAGAATAAAGCTTTCATTGTGTAGCAGAATGCAATCGTCTTCATGACAATTCATAACTCAAAAAGCTCTGTTCTTTTGCATATGCTTGTATGCTTGCGTCTCTCACCCTGTTATATTATCTGGAAAATTGGGAGAGTATGTAGGCTAAAACCAAAGAAAAATTTGTTTCTTTCTGTTAAATTCATATATAAGTGATGAGATTCCCAGTTTGCAGGAAATGAAGCCAAAGCTAAGAAAGTATTTAGTCACAGTAATACTCACCTTGTGAGTGTCCCTCTTTTAAATCTATAACCTTTGTATTCTGGTGTATTTAAAATAGCTTTCTATATTACATATTTATATCAAGATGTTCAATCGGTTAGTTCTGAATTTGAATGGATGCAGAGAAAGAGGTAGTGGTGCTAAACCAATAATGGCACGATGCAAAGTGATATCACATCCACGCTGGACAGGAAATGATGCGTGGTGAAATGCAAATTGGCTTTAGCAGCCATGTCTGGTGGATTGCCTGCTATGCAGAATATGTGATTTACTTTAATCAAAAGCTATTTTGTTAACAGCAGATAGTGCAAGTGCTTAGATGCATCATGCACTCCAGCACTTAAGGCTAGGGGGCTCCTTTATATGCCTGCTCATAATCCAGATCGAAAAGGGGCACCGAGATGACAGAGTCACTTATGAGTTACGCTTAGAAAAGGTTTGGCCATTGTGGTCAAGTTAAGAAAAGGGGGGGGGGGGGGATGACCAATGTGCTGTTCACACAATATCACAGAGGATTCTTTCAGGCAGTGTAGGAAGACATGCAAAGATCAGAGCTTACCGGTATGTGAATCGGTTACGTTTACGCAATCGGTTACGTTTAGTCAAGATTACCGCTTTTATAACCGGTTGTAACTTAACACCTCCTTCCTCAGAGGAACAAATATGAGCATAACTGATCAACAAGAATGGACTTGAACCTATAGTATTGTGTTGCCTAGTATTTTGAAAAGCATTGGCATTTTAACTGTCAGTGCTAATGCAGTGAAAATGTTGCAAACGAAAATAGAGAAGGCAAAGTACCAGTCAATAGTTTGGACACACCAAGTCGCCTGCACAGGAGAGTGACAGTGTTGCACCACCCGAACTAAACCCAAGGTAGAGATGGTTTTGAAGGAGTTTAATCAGAGACTGAAGGAATAATGAGAGCTCGACATGTATGTGGGACTTCCTAAGGACAGCTGGAAAAGCATCCCAGGAGGCCGCCTCATGAGCTGGTGTAGAGGAGACAGTGGGGTCAGCCAGCCCCTGGGGCAACTGGGGTTAAGGCTCACAGGCCCAATGGTGGGATCTCTCTTCTAACCCAGGGATTTGAACCAACAACTTTCTGAGTCCCAACCCACAGAGCTGTTTAATACTTTTTTGGTCAGTGCAAAATCCATATATGTTTTTTTTTTTTTTTGTATTTATGTCTTTATAATTATTCTGCTGTAAAATGTAATAGTACAGATAAACCTGTCTAGGGGCAGGTGTGTCCAAACTTTTGACTTGTACTGTATTTAGCACATTTTAAACAGAGTTATTGTCTTGTGAGCTGACAGGGCTGTGGATGGAAACTGGAGCTCTGAGTGACAAATGCTTTTTGTGTAGATAAATAGGATTTTGTGGAATCTAAGCATATATCTACACAAAATATAATGTTAATATACCTTATTCTTTATTTTGGGTAGAATGATCTAGGGAAGTAGCGTGCACCTGGTCTTGCCAAGAGTCTCGTTTAATGATTTAACTTACTGGTGCATAAACTTGAACAAACTACAGCTTATTCTCATAAATGAGAAGTACTACTAATTAGGTTTTATATTTCATTTTTTGTTGCTTTCTTTCCTAATATTACAGTTTAACCTATATAAATACCAAACATTAAATGCACCGATACATTTTAAAGTGGTACATTAAGATGTAGTATGTTAATGCAAAGATTTGAGCAAATCCGTAGTAGGATACGTTTCCATCCTACAATACAAAGCACTCATGTATTAAAGCCCAGCGTATAATCAGTTTAACATAATTACTTGTCATTTGTATTTGTTCCACACTGTCACAATGAAAGTCTTTGTAAACTCAGATAAACAATAAGACTTAAATTTAACAGAATTTCAATGAAAGGAAAAAAGTAGAGAAAAGACAGCTTTTGCAAGAAAACTCAAAGCTTTAAAGTATCCGCTACTTAAAAATCCTGCATTCTTATTATACAGTTGGCTGTGGATGGTTTGGCAACATTTGATATCTTCAATTAAATTTTAAATTTAATCAGAATTCTGGAGTGTGGGTGTGTTCCACACTGCCCAGATCATTCTCTGTGTTTTCTGGGAAGGTGCAGGCTTTACTCTTACCTTTGAAAGAGTATAGTGTCATCATAGAGCAACTGTGAAAAGTACAATGAATATTGAATCCTCCTGGCATGTATATTTCAAATCATAGTTATATTATGAGTAAATGTGCCTGGGGGAAAAATATGGTAGAATATAATAGTATAGTAACATGATTCTAAGCCCCAAGCCAACAACATAACAAACTTGGTCCATCTTAAACATTTTTTTATTCTCATCATACAATAGGCCTTAGTTGGTTTGGTAACTTGGTAGTTCAGTGGTAAGATCATTTTCCATGATTCGATTCCATAGCAGCACTATTCTTCAATAGCTTTAGGTTTGTAAAGTAACTCATATTTATATTATTTTTATTGGAAATACTGGGGTTCTGGCACAGTGATGCTCCTGGAAGCCTGAAATTAAAAGGGTTGCTATACAACCTTCGTTAATACAAAAATGACAGACAGCCGATATCCAGTTTGGCTCAAAGCAAATATGTTTTCCTTATAAAACATTATTTGATTGTTGTAGTAACGCCACTACATAAATAGCACTAGATAAAATACAAGAGATATCAAGTGATATCAAATCTCTGAACTACAATAGTTGTTACTTTTATTGCCTAGACACACACACGCACCACAGTCTATACAGCTTTTCAATGGATTGCACTGGCTATATTCTGCATAACAATGTTACCTTGCAAAACTAATGTATGCAAAAATTATATACAGATCTGTGGTCAAAAATCTGCTAGTTCAAGTCAAAGATAATACTGCAGTGTTTTTACTCCTGAGCAGGGTGTGTAATGTGAATTGCTTCAATATAAAAATCAGATAATGAATAGGAATTGTGCAGAGACTCTGAGGTTTTGGATTAAAGTATCAGTTAAGCAAATAAAATATATAGTAATTTTATTCTCTGATTACTAATATCTGGCTTTAAATCACAGCTGCAATTCCACAATGGCAAATGCAGTTAACAGGTTTAATGTCTTAAATATTAAATGAAATGGCAGAACTACAGGAATGGATCTGGGTGCAAGTGCTGAATCGTGTTCTGTTTGTGTGTCCGTCTTCTGATAATGAATTTGATTTCACGTTTAGGTGAGAAACCGCACCAGTGTAGCATCTGCTGGCGCTCGTTTTCCCTGAAGGATTACCTAATAAAACACATGGTGACACATACAGGGGTGCGAGCCTATCAGTGCAGCATCTGCAACAAGCGCTTTACCCAGAAGAGCTCTCTCAACGTACACATGCGCCTGCACCGCGGAGAGAAGTCCTACGAGTGTTACGTTTGCAAGAAGAAGTTCTCCCACAAAACCCTGCTGGAAAGACACATGGCACTACACAGCACAGGTGGGAGCGGAATGACAGGGGTCCCCGGGGCAGGGCCGGGGACGGGAGCAGGGGCGGGAAGCCCCGTCTCCATTCCGGTGCCCATGGCTGTCTCAGAACCTGGTGCTGGAGCTGTGACCCTCTCCATGCCTTTGAGCGGAGGAGCCGGAGTGGGGGTGGCGGCGGGGGTCGGCCCGGCGGGCATGGGCGTGGCGGCAGAGGCTAGCTGCCAGGAGGGCACCACTTACGTGTGTTCCGTCTGCCCGGCCAAGTTTGACCAAATTGAGCACTTCAATGACCACATGCGAATGCATGTGTCTGACGGATAAGTACAAAGCAACGAGGACTTACAGAAAGGCACTAGATTTTATTTTATTTTTTTTCCTTATTTTGGGGTATGAAGAGAAATGAGTATAGACACTGGCACATTGTGTTTCCCAGACAAAACTAAATTCTTTTTTGGTACTCTAAAAAAAAAACAAAGGATGGTGGCCTTAAGGCTTTTGTAGTTCAGCGTCGGTCCACTGGATGGACTCCTCACTACAGGGCCTCCAAATGTATCCTTTCCTCCAATAGTCATTTATGTGTTGAACACCACCAAAAGGCCTACTATCGCTAAAAAACAATATACACAAATTTATATACACAAGCACACACACGAAACACACAAATACCCATAAAGCATTGCAAAAGTAGACATTTTCCTATACAGACCATTTTGGGCACTCTATGAGTCCAAACGTACTGTGGTATGTGGCTTCCTTCAAAAGAATTTTTAAGTACCTGGCTTGTACTTTGATTAATTTTAAAAATATTGATGGTCACAAATTTGCCTTTTGTATAGAATAAGAAAAGGGGAGTTATCAGTATGACACTGGGTTATTTATTATAATGCTATTAAGGGTTTACATTGCAGCTATTGTTAGATACAAGTCAATTTTCGTAATTGTACAATGTAACTTCCTGAAAGTGGTATAAGAGTGATCGTTCACTTCTTTGATGCATTTTGATGGTTCTGGGAAAGTTTACGAGATAGCAATTTGTTTATGTAACAGTATTTCAGCATTTTTTTTTGCTTACACTGCCACTAATACCTTAGAAGACTGTTAAGGCTAATTATTGACCTCTTCCAGTTAGAAAATGTGAGCTTAGAAGAGTAGAAAGTTTTAAAATAGAGGTTTTTTTTAATCATTTTTATATTTTTGTTTAAGGACATTAAGTTTGCAGTTTGGGCAGCATTATACTTGTATATGCCGCCAATTATTGTCTTCATTTTAATTGCTGCTCCTTTATTGCATTAATTAACTTGCTTCAGACTGTTATCAGCTGCTGTTTCCATTTTTGTTTTTAATCATGGTTTTCAGATTCACTTAAAGGTTTACCAAGAATGAAGATCACAGCAGTAGTCTGGATTAGATCAAGAATTATCATGTTCATTTTAATTTCCCACAAAAAGAAAAACTACAACTGTCTCTGAAAACCTCTGCTTTTCCTCTTAGCAACTGCATGACTGATGACTAGGCAGTTCAAAGTAAATGCACTACTTCTGATACACTAGCACCACCTGGTGGATAAAAGGGGAGTCTGTTTTTCTTAGGAGAAAATAAACTCAAGGATACAGAAGGAAGGCCTTTTTATTCCAATTTTTCATATTATTATTATTATCATTATTATTATTATTATTATTATTGCTGTTGTTGATGTTATTGTTATTGGTGTTGTTTTGTGATTAATAATTATAATGGCAATGACAATAATAATAATAATAATAGCAGTTGTATTATATGATTTGCTTTCAGAATATAACAAACCATGAAGATGGATATCACAATTACATAATAAGTACATTCCCATTTTTGGAAGTTCACATAGAAATACAAAGGCCGGAGTATGACGTCATGAATTTAATGGGTTATTTATGTGTCACTCAATCACTCGGATACTTGTTGCTTGTTGTATTCCATCAAGGCAAAGAAATAATGTTTCTGAAAAACACAACTGCCTATGGTTAAAATCTACAGATTTTTTGCTCATTATTTGAGTAATGGATATATGTTGGATAATCTAGGAAAAAAAAATCATTACAGGCTGCAATTAGTGTGACGTTTCCTTTTAGGAAATTTGCTAAATTCTAGACGAAAACAGTGCAGCTTTGCACATATCTTGCAAATGCCTGTGCTTAAATATTGTTTAGTTTAATAAAGGAATTCTGGTGTTTTATTAATTTTTAAATTAAATATTTTTCTTTAAAGCTTGAGAGAAGGACTGCATTGTTTCCTTGCATATATGTTGCACTGCTTAAACCAATAAGTGCACTACTGTTACCAGAGTTGTTATAGTTTTAGAGAAAAATAATATTTTTTTTAATTAATGTTTTTAAGATTTAGAATTCATTTTGTGTTAGAATAGCTTTGTTCTTTTTATATAAAGTAAATGTTTCTTAGCTTTTGTTATTTCTTGCTATGTATGTATTCACTTGTGCAGTATTTGTGCAAGCATTTTCCTTTGAATCTGAACCATTTTGTGACGTTAGGATTTTTATTCTCATTTCTTCCTGTTCTTTTCAGTTAATTCCCCATTAACAGCAGTTATTGTCATGCGTTAGGTAGAGCAGTTCTGTTTTAATAGCATTCATACCAAACTCTGTAAAGCACACACAAAAAACGAAAAAAAATCTAGTTAGAAAGAAAAAAAAAAAAATCATACTCACTGTTTTTCTGCACGTGTGGCTATACCTGATGCTATGTAGTTTATGATCAGTTTTTTGTACAGCATTTCACATTCGCTCTGGAAAATGTGTACGCTTCTGTTTGTGTGACTGTATGTATGTATGTGTGTGAGAGAGAGAACGTGATGTATTTGTCCTGGTCCAGGTGTGATTTCTGAAAAGTGGGGCTTCCTTTGCAATATACAGTGCAGGTACTGATGAGAGATAGCTGTCCTAGATATATCACTGTTCTCAGCATCACTGATTATGTGCAGTGTCTTGTAATGCACAGCTTTGAACTCCTCCGTGAAAACTTTAAATAGGCCTTTTGTTAACCCTGCCCTTTCATTGAATGAAAATAAATATTTTCCATGTTAAGTCCTGTTTTAGTTTTGCTGAATTTTAACTGGATACAGAAAGTAGCATTTAGAAAGACCCTATTGCACTAAATATGTTTAAATATATCCAGCTATTTAAAATGGAAAATTGAACATGTCTAGTAACTCGTTTATTAAAATACCAAATTCACACTCTGTGGTGGCTTCATCTAGTAATGTGACACACATTTCTGTGTGTTTTGTTTTCCGTTTTAGAAGGTGTATCTATGTAATGTAAAAAATAACAAAAACAAAAAAACTGACCACAACTGTAACTTTCGTAAGCTAATGTGTGTGGGTATTCTTACAATCCATAAACTGTGACTGCCTTCAGTACAGTAAAATTGCCAGAGATACATTTAAAGTTTCCATTATGGATATTTTACTGTGTCATTATCTGATTATTCTGATTTTTAAAGTTCATTATAACAAATTTTGCCAAGAATTTTGAGAATATTTTGAAAGGTCATGGCAGTGGCGCTGCATTTTAGGACAAAACCATGAAATTTATAGTTATTGGAGTTAAATTCATACGTTATGCAATGCTTACAGCACTTAATTTACTTTATATTTCTGAGCAGTAATATATGGTGCCTGTGTTGACCCAGCCTTACATTGTCCTTAAATTTAAGTAAGCATTCACAACAAAGGTGAATTATGGGGGGAAAAAATATAAATTTGAACTATATAACTAGAGGAAAAAAGTTAAGTGGTGATGTATATATCACCATGTGAACGAGAAAAGTCTACTAATATGCAGATGCCTTATTATAAAACCATTGAAAACTAATAACTGGAAAGCATAGGTGAAATGAGCCTTAACTATAGACAAACAGCTTTCAAGCATAAAATATATGCAATCAGTATTCCTTTTTGTAAAAAAAAAAAAAAGAAAATTCCTTGACACTTGAAACTTGAGGCACTACCACAAAGATCATAAAATTGTCACTGCCAGCGGTAGTGTGTAAATCAGAACCCAGAAGTATATCTATTATATATATATATATAATAGATATATCGATATAGCGATATATCTCATCAGCGTTTTTTCTTTCAAAAATCCCACAAACATATTATTGTGCATTTTATTTATCGTTAGTAAAAGGAGACACCTAAGTAACGTGAGTAAACTTTTTCTTTCTTTTTTTTTTTTACTTTGGCTATTTAAAGAAATACCTTGTTTCTATTTCCACATAATTATCAACAGAATTACAGCCCAAAAAAATCAGTGGATGCTATGAAATTTGTTCATCCTATAAAATAGTCATAGGGCTCTCACCTTGTCTTAAAAACAAAAACACTTAAATCTATCATTTCTTCAAGATTCTTCTTATGTAAATCTACTTAGGTCTCTCATAGTGTTAGAAACTCATTGTTCATTCATTGAAGTTGATATACTGCCAAATTGAAGCGTAATGGTGTCTTATTTGTAGGCTATTTTTTTCCCCACGGACAGGAAACACGTCTCTCACCTGTTTGTTTATTAATAATAACCCCTCTCATTAGAAAAATGGACAGCAAGCTTACTCACAGTCTGATTATGCTGCTTTAGCGATGGTTAGAGATCATTGACATTGATGTGATAATTGTTTGTTACATATTCTACCGCATGTTACTGTGTTACATGTATGGCCTGAGCTTTTAAAACTTGAAGATAAAAAAAAAAAATCTCTCTCCATTTTCCTCAGACCCAAATTTTCTACATAAATATTTATTAATAGGCATAGCCTCTTTCAGGTACTTTTTTCAGCCTTGAGTGAAACTTAAAACTGAAATCAATAACTTAACACAATAATTGCTGGATGAGTAGAATGGATTGGCGCGTCCTGCTGTAAGTGAAACGGCTGCATTTAGCGCATGTGAGTTACATTTAGAGGGTACCTATTTGACCTGAGGTCAGAAAGCATCCGAGCGACTGATATTATCTCATCAGGTCAATATTTGAAAGAAACAAACTGATGCTCAATTTTGACATTATTGATATAAGTAAGGAAAGTGCTACAGAACAGCTGCACATACTCCAAATGTACAATGTAGACCTTAAATATTTTAAGTCGTATGTTTTTAATTTAAACAAACCTCCACTGATACAAATAGGTTTTTAATCATTACTTTTTGTGTTGTTTTTTCATACATTTACGGAACACATTCATATAAATAATTTAGCAAAAAATACGTTCTCTGTTTTAACCAAAACATTATTTGGTCTTGCATGTTGTACTGTATTTACATAAGATAGACAAACATTGTATATATACACAATTTGCTTAATACTTTTTGTGCAGTGAATTTGAATTATATTTGTCTATTATTTGTTTAGCTGTAGTTTTCCTCTATATTGGTTTTCTTTGCATTTATGAAATTGCAGTAACTAGATTTTTGAATACAGTATTTAGTGGGTAAAGGATAATAAGCCATTAATGTCTCTACATGGGCAAACTTTCAGATATGGAAGTTTTTTCTGTATGAAATTGGACAAGACTGAAAGTTAACATTTTGCACTGAATGCAAAGAAAATTGTTGCTGAGATAAATTTAAATTGAGGACAATATGAAAAAAATGTATGCGTTTAATTTCTGCATGGTGAAATCATTTTGTATATCCTGATTTCACAGCGTCATGGAAATATCCCCTGATTTGGAATTATGGCATAATAATAATAAAAATAATAATAATAATAATAATAATAATAATAATAATACTAGTTGGTTTAACTGCACTAAAAGTCACATTTTAGCACTTAGGTGAGCAGATCTTCCTATTTTAAAACATGAAATTTAACATGGATTGTCTTTTGGGATACCTGTTAGTCTTTTGGCATACCTGTTAGTAGCTGACATACCCATAAAAGTAACTGTTAACTTAACGGTGAGATTGATTGATTATTTTAGTTTTTCTGTTTGTGTGTGGCTGATGTTTTTTCTACGTGATTTTATCTGCTTCTAATTTGATTTGTATTAAATGACTATGGTAAATATCTACAATTCTCAGTATAGCATTATGTACCAGTTTAATTAATGGACACCATTACTATTTACTTCAGTAGTACCACTTCACAAGCCAATAAACTCATATTTTGTATTTACACAACTCTTTTACTATGGAACACTTTTTACAGGCACTAAACTTTTTATCCATCAACATATCTTACAGATTATAAGGATGGCTTAAGATGTAATACTTTCTTGCAAGCTTTTATAAACTAGTGTTAAAGTATATTGGTAGTCTATGTATCAAGTGCCTATTTGTATAGAATAAAGTCATTTTCCTTAGTAGATGTTTAAAATATCACAATTTACCATTCAGCATATAATTGTAACATGTATTCTAATGTACAGTATACATTTAGAAAACGTTGGCAAGTTTTTTTTTTCCGAGAAATCGATACTTACAAGTCTATCTAGAAATAACCGGTCGTCATACTTCTAAATTATGAAGCAGCAATAAGAAACAAACTGGCATATGGATCTTTTTATTTAAACAAATGTGTATTTTAGTGGAATAAGCAGTGCATGTTTACGTTTGGATGGAGACAACATTGCAACATTTAAGTATTTTTATTTATATCCTGTTTGATATATTTACCATTGATCGCTGATTTTAGCTCTGTAATTTCCCTGACTTCTCACATGTCACATTTTTGAACATTGTGCAGTTATTAATGTGCCATTTCTCTTTGCTCTTCCTTACAATAATAATATTTGATGGTGCAGAATAACCAAAGCAGGATCATTAACAAGATTTTTGTTGATCTTTCCTAATTAATATTTTTTATATTTGGTTATTGTTGAATCTAGCTGACAATAACAGTAGGTGTAAATTTTAAAACTGTATACTTCCCTCAAATAATTATTTATTTAAAATATCATTTTAGTTTAGTTTTTTTTTTTTTTTAAATCATGTTTACTGTGTTTTTACTTTTTGGATGTTTCTCCCCTAGCAAGTCATAATTAAGAATTATGACATCATGTATCTTTAAGAAAATCATCTGTTTCTTTAAAGCTGTGCTTTTGCCCTTAATGTTAATAATGGTAATAAACAATACAGTTATTTTCAGTAATTTTTAAATATATATTGATTCCAAAAGTTACTGCAATCACAATTGTTACAGAAGAGAAACAGCAAAGGAGGTCTAACTGAAGAGTGGGTTAACTCACAGTCATAATCAATAGTGCATTCATTTCAGTGCTTTGTGAAATAACAAATACAAATTTTATTGTATCCCGAACCACAACATTTATGTTTGTATAACTAACTTGAAACATGCATAACTTTACTGCCCGGAAGTCATTTCTCAGAAATTGCATGAATATGCTTAAATATACACACATATGAAAGTCCTTGTACTTAAAACCTTGACCTGGACCCACGGAAGCACGACAGTACGCTCTTCCTACAGGTCTTTTGGCATCATCACAGTTTTCACTCAAACTGTTTTCATAATACATCATGGGCATCCCATGAAGCCATTAAAATTTGTAACCTTTTTAGAGATTCATAGTATCTTTTCCCGAATTAATAAATCCAACACAACTTCAGATTCAGTTATTCAAATCATTTAATCTGATTTTACCTACTGTGAATTACAATATGAGCAGTTTCAAAATGATATATTAAAAAAAATGAACAAAGTACAAGGAAACATGACAACAATGTAACTGAAAGTCATTGTTTTGGGGAGAAACATTATAGGTTTTATCAGTACAAAGTGTAATGTATCCTAACCTTCTCTACATGTGATTTAGAATCGATTGATTTAGGTCCTGCGTATGATTTTTGATTCATCATATCAAATATATAAACAGATATCCTGTGCAAAGAACAATTGATTACATTTATTTAATATGACATATGATATACTTCTGTATTACTTCCAGAACTGAAAAAAAAGTTAAGATTTACATATTGTGTGCAAGCAATCAAATTCTGATAACAGTTGAGACTAAAAAGGTTTAATAACAGCCATTAAACTTTTGAAGCATCTTCATTTAATTAAGCAAATTTCTCTAATAGTGAGTAGGAGCAGTGTTTGAGAATTTCTGTTTTGTACTTTTTTTATTCAATGTAGCATTTCGGCCTAAGTGTTACATCATTATTTCCAGAAAAGAACAGTATTTGAAAAATATGACACCCCCCCCCCCACAAGCACGCAGAGTGAAACTGCTTTGATATGAATTTATAAAGTCATATCTCATGATAAAATGTATTCCGATTTGGTGCAGAATATACAGTATATAACTGAAACGTATATTTATATAAAAAAAGGATTTTGGGTGCAGTTCAGTTTGATCAGTTTTATGTAGAATATAGTTTCTTGTAATAATATGTTAAACAATTAGACTGAACTCCAATCTAAGTCCAACTGAAAAGAATGAATATATGAATGTTAATTGAAGTTCCATGTAGAATCCAAATAAATGTCATATATATATATATATATATATGTTGTCTAACCAAGAATGTTCCCATCAACTGAGCTCCCCATCAGGTATTTTGCAGTCATAAATCCCTTTAAGGAACTGACCTCTTGATTCTTGAATGTTGACAAAAGTATATTATGTATTTTTCATACATTTATTTTTTGTTGTGATTTCAGTATAACTGTAATATCTCATGTTATTTTAAGAAAGGCTATAGGTACCAGAGTCAAAATTTGTCTTCAGAGTAGGATGTCATACAGGAAGTTTGCAGACATTGTGCAAACACTGTGCATTATTTTCTTTCAATGCCACAGAAATAATGACATGAAAATTATGTGAAAGTTATGCCCTTTAAACCAACAGTGCAATAGATAGTGATGTCAGCTTATACAAAAGATAAAAACTTCATTTGTTTCATTAGTTAAATGACCAAAAATACGTAGCAAATTTGACCACCAATATTGTCTGTGCCTTATTCAGTATCAATATTTAGTAATACAGTAGTTTGAGCATCTATAAATCACCTGTCTTCACCAAGTCATTATTTGAAAATAAATACATTTATTTTATACAAGGTGGCCCAGAGGAAACTATCCCAAAACACTGAAATCTGGGTTTGAGAGAAAAAAAACACAAATCAAACACAGAATTTTTTTGACCAGTACTTTAAGTTGTAGAAATGAACAGATAAATAAAAATGCAAGTTATATATTGTTTTTTATGAAAAATATTTGACAGATATTCAGATGAAATTTCTTCGGTTTAATATGGATTCCACATGATGCTGGGCTATTATATAATTTCTTTATACTGTTGATGCCAGAATGCTGCCTTTTATTTTTACTTGAAGTGACTTGAATTCTGAGTAACTGCTAACAATGAGCACACATTTAATTAAAGCTAATTCATTTAGACCTGGACATTTCAAATCTTAGTCAAAGGTTGTTTTCCCACACACCTACCTGTAAGCTTTTGCTGTTAGGTGAGGGAATTAAGTAAGTGCATAGCTCCAAGTGTCTGCTCTGAAATGACTTGTTTCCGCGGTTGTTAAGTTTATGCTGAAATGCGAGTTAGTTAGTGTTTTAATACTGTATGACAGTATTGTGGTATAGAATGTACCCTTGATGGCCTATACCCATGAGAGTACAACATACATAGAATGAAACAGTGAAAGGATGCAAGCACTTTGTTATATATAATGAGAAATATTTATGTAGATTCTCTAATGAACTGGTTTCTTTATATTGCTGTACAATTATGGCCTTCCCATTCTTAATAAAAAGGCCTAAAAATATATTTTTATTTGTTAGTTATTGATTTAAGCAGGACACAGCACAGGACTGGACAGATGCCTGAAATGGATTCATTGCGCACTACTTTGTGAGAACATTTTATTATTTGTTTAGTACTATGAGGCACTTATCTGAATAGTTTGTCACCATCTATTGTTGACCAAAGGTATTGTTTTTAAGGCAAGATTTGGTTTGTATTTAACATAATTATGCCCCCCGTTTTAGCACTCAGACCCCTTGTGTTGAACATGCTACATACTAGCGAGCTGATTTTTTTAAATCAAAGTCCACTAGGGGCCTATGGCAGGTAGACATTGACTCCATGGTTGTTGTATTTCATGTCTGAGGTTTATGTTCTATAATGGATGAAATAATATGAAAATAGCTGAGTATAGATTCTCAGCATAAAAGCATTTGCTTTCAAATTGGCAGTGCTAACATGTAATTTGATCCATTAATATGTGTAAGAAAATTTTATTGTACCAGGAAAAATATACAATTACCACCTGAAATAAATGTTCGGCAAAGGTAAACAGATCAGGTTTTACAAGTAAAATTACTCATGACTGATAATCACCAATACAGTAAATTTCTGTCAGGAGTAGACTGACATAGATATAATGCTTATTTGTTCTATTTGGGTTGTTGTGGGTTGATGTGAGATAAAAAAAAAAAAAAAAAAAAAATTTGTCAACCCTGCCATTACATTACTGGCTTAACCTAGATGGGTAGGTTCTAACAGTGACTATTGTACATTATATTAGTTAATAATCAGAACTGACATGCCATTCTTGTTCAACAGCTTTTATAACAAATACATTTTTTGTTAAATTCCGTAAATCAGACCATCTTCTGGTGTGCCATAACGCAGAGGGGAAAAAAAAACTTTGATCCACTTAACTCAGAAAATAATACTACAAGCATTACTTTGGGCAGTGCTCTTCTCAAAGAATGCCATTCAGATCAGTGCTGAAGCAGTGTGAATGCTGCAGAGATCCAGCAAACCCATATGTGAACTAATGTCACTTAAGCTAGTTTAATCGAGGGTCTGGATTATGCCACAAATTAAATAATTTTCTGTTACTGGTCAGAATTATAACATTTGCTTTATTTTTTCCCCCTGTGTTTATTTTACTTCTATAAAAATATAAAATTATATAATTTAACATTTATGGTAATTGCAGTGTATTTCTTGAACAAATGGAACAACTAGTTTGGTGGGACACATTAGTTACAAATTTGGAACAATCAATCGATACAGCAGTTTTATATTGTTTTTTTTTTAAATTCTACCCAGTGTAACATTGTAGACAATCTAATTAGAATAGAGTCGAATTGTAGTATGTCTTAACATGCTGGTATTTTATTTGTAAAAAATTTTAGGTAGTGTTAATTCCCAGAAGCTTCCAAATTCAAGCAATTAGGCATTTCATTAGGAACTCTCCAGATATTCACTAGAGAAATTATCAGCTTTGTTTATACCAGTCCTTTAATTTCAAAAGGTACGGCAATCCTGAAGTGATTTATGTTGAAAATTTCAAAAATACGTTTTTTTTTCTTTCCAATTAAGGACCAAATGGGATGGTATATCGACATTTCTTCTTTAATTATAAGAAAAAGCAAGTACAAATAACCATCATTTAATTCCAAATCATATTTTAATTGCACACTGGGAAATTTTTGATACTGTGTGAAGACAAGGTCAATCACAAGTTGTGCAGGAGTGGTCAGCATGAGTGAGGCTGTGGCTGGTGTCCTGTGTTGCGTCGTCACAGAGCCAGTACCCCTGATCTCTGCTTAAATAACTCTTTCTGGTGAATTTGTTATAGAAAATGATTACTACTTTGCATGATTAATTGTCTTGTTGATGGGACACTAATAATGAGTAACAGTCACCAATACATTACAGACTGATATAAATGATGTTTTATTTTGTTAAAAAGCCTGAGTCTGCATCATTCCAGCTTAGCACACTAGTCAAATGGATTAACTAATGAGTAATACTTCAACATACTAACTCAGTGTAAACGTGAGTCCAGTTTGGCATGACATTCTCAGTGTCTCCTTATTTAATAACACATTGTAAATGTAACATTACAATTTTACTACCGGAAATCAGAGTCCCTGATCATTTTAAGACCGTAAACTGAATTTTTATTTTAACTTTTTCTATATCCCGTATTTCTGGAAGAGACCCCTGTTATCCAGTATTGCCTATATTTTGTACCGTGTTAGAGAACCTAAAGATATTTTTATTGCCCATCTTTTTGGCATTCTCATTCGTAATTTCATCTTGAATTACAGATAAATAATAATAATAATAATGATAATAATAATAATCTTGAAAACCAAGCTTTTGTGGTATCTAAATGGAAAAACCAAGTTTGCCCTTAAGAATATGCTGCAGTATTTTTGTTTCAACTTGTATTCGTGTGTTCTTGTGTTCAGAGATGGTTTAAATATGTTTTTATTGTTGTGATGAAATGAAACAAGTTTGTTATGTTTTATAACTGCTGTTTTGAGGTAGATAGTAAGTGGATTTATTTAAAAATTGTGGGTGTTTGACTTGTCAGAAACACTGGGGACTGTGAGTGTGTTTCCAAATATTTAATGACTAAGGACTACAATTAAAGAACTAAACATAATCATTGTGGAAATCAACATTTTTATTCCCATTAACCACAAAGGTTGCAAAGCTACCGTGTTTCAGAGGGAACTGTTTAGAATGAGCACTCATCTTAACTACTCAAATTTTATCAGTATATAAACAGGAAGGCAGGATATTTTTACCCCCAGTTCATTTGGTTTGGCACTGGAAGTATTGATTAAAGTAAGCAGAGGTGAAATGTATGGCACTGGTATGAATGACACCCAGTTATGGAGATAAAATAAAGCAAATCAAGTGGCAAAATCTATATTCTATATTCCCAACTGAAATAGTACTGCACATGTAATAAAGGTGAAAAAAATAGCTGTTAACATGACTAATGATCCCATGACAAAGCGGTTCAAAGATTTGCACGAGTCAGCTATGTTTTCTTGGATTAATAGCAATATACTTGAGAGGATAAACACACTTGCAAATCAAATAAATTGGAAAAAAGAACTCTGTATTGCACTATGATAGTGCAGTGTAAAAGATGGCATTTGAGAAGGATTTTTAATTTCTGCATTGATATGTGAAATCTGTAGTTATACATTTCAGGCATGTTACCGTTGAGGTCTGTATGATGATATATGATAGCTTGAACACATTATTGAATTATTTTGTTTTATTTGCAATTAAACCATTAATAGTACAATAGGTAAAATAGAGAACAATAGAGAACAATAGAGTTGTGGGCACATGATTTTCTGTTTGTTTCCTCTAGTGATATGTTTGGACAAATGGAACTGCACTTAAATGCCTTTAGTGTAATTATACTTAATAAGAATTTTAAAATTGGATGAACACCAAAATAAACTTGTTATATAAAAGGATTTTTTAAAATTGCCTTTCACAGTAAAGTTTCTCTTCTCTGACTAATGGAAGGAAAAAAGCGGATTTAAAGGCTTAAAGGCTTTCAAGAAAGATTGATATATAAAATCAGTACACTCATGATCGTAATGATTTTTGTTGTTGTTGTTAATAATATCATCATTATTATAATTATAATTATAACACTAATAATAATAAAATAATCTAGAATGAATAAAATAGCAATAGTAGCTATCCTGTTATTACAGCTTTGTGGTGTTGCTGAATAACGATGTTGCAGTTTGTCTAAATCTGTTGCGTGTTTGAGGAAGCAAAGGTATGTGCCTTCTTGTAGTTTTTTGGTGAGCTTATTGCTGTTCAAAAGCTGAAGCCAGCCAATTGTGTTTGCACTAAAACCAAATGCTTTTGTGATGTAGAGTGTGTAAGTAAGCGTGTTGCTTCACTTTGACAGTATGCATGAGTATGAAATTGGCAAGTCCCAGGGCTAGGAGAATCATTTGTCGAATCACTGCTTAGAAAATCCCCAGAAATAATCTATATTCCATGTTGTTTTTAGATTTGGTACTATCCCATCTCAACATAAATATTTATACTGATCTATAATTCCACTAAAAATAATTCCATTCAATAAATAGTTGTGATACATTAAAAAAAAAAAAATGAAAACATGGTTTTTGTATGAAAATGCACTTACTGTTGTAATATAATGTATGAGGTCGCCTCAAGACCATTGGCCAGTTTGTTTGGTTTATTTATGTAATTATATTTTCTGTTGTAGACTTATTTTCTTTGACAAAAAAATTAGTTGAAGAAAAAAAAACAAATGCTTTGTCTTTAAAATGCACCTTATTCATGCTGATCTGTAAGGAGCTGATTGGCAGTCCAGTATCTCTGTTTTAGTACTTTACTTCACAGCATGTTTTACTGAAATGTATTCTTTGGTTGTTTTCAACATTATGCTTGTTTTACTATACTGCCATACATATTAATAAAAAAACCTTTATCTATTTTCTAGAAATATTTAAAGGGATGTGCCAAAGTGTTAGAGGCGATCTCCCAAGTTCATTTAAATTTTTGTTTGTACATTCTTCTTCCCTCTTTCTTTAGTTACAGCAATGGTATGTGCTTTATAAAATCATACATGTACACTCTATAAGTGCGTTAAACAGTTTATTTTAGCAACCGTATCCTTACTTGACATTTACACTTAGCCCTGTATTTCACGTATATTTACTAGTGATGTGTATATGTCATAATAAAGAAAATTGCCGTAATGCTTCATTATGTTACATATTATTGTGACTTTTTTCGAAATACTGTGAAGACTTATCTTGCATATACTTTATACAGAAGTATTAAGCCTTAATACAAAAGTCTAAAAAAAACTTGGTGTGGAAGAATAAACTGATTGTTGCTAAGTAAGGATGATTTTTTGTAAATGTTACCAGCACTTTTTTGTAATTTTCACTTTCTGAGGTATTGTACAAGTTCACGCTGTTTGTGAAGTTTGAATATGAAGGAATAAAAACTCTAGTACTTTCCTGTACATTACTGAATGTCAGACGTGTGTTTTTATTTTGCAGTCGAACAGCTTACATTCATTTCATTTAATGCCTCTGAAAGGTCTGTAATCACATTGTAAAGAAACACACAACAAAACATATGTGGATAATACATGTCTTGTAATAATGTCAACATAATTATCTTTTAGTGCCTCTGAAAGATCTGTACATTGTACAGAAACACACAACAAAACATATGCGGACAATATATGTTTCGTAATAATGTCAACATACATGTTATTGTTTTGTTAACCTTTTGTCGCTACAGAGTAAATCAAGGAAATGATTTACAAATCAAGGCCATGATTCCAGAAATTCATGTTACCATTTAAGGCAGGGCCAAATGTCTTTCTATTTTAGTATAATATATTTCACATCAATGAAATCCATTTTAAGAAATAATTTTAAGTGATAAAGCATGTCAATTCAGTAACTTTTACCAAGTTACCACATATTTTTTGCATGACAATATTCTCTGCTAAAAACAAGCCATTAAAGCAAACTGAGAAAATAAAAATTACACCACCCTTTGCAAAAATATATAACAAATAAATTTATTATAATTGACATAAATAACAGGTTTCATGGATCCACCCGGTCAGGAGTTGTTTTGTCATTTACATGTCACATATTTTTATGTGCTATACCTCTAGTATATACCCTTCTGGGGTCATGCCAGACTTTCCTAGGCAATATCCAGCTGGCCCAGGGAGACCTTATCTTCTAAGTATGCAAGATATTTTCTGCAAGAACATCATAAGGGGCGTCCAGGTAATATTTATACCTAAATAAATCGTAAAAATCAACATGAATAATATGTTGAGCCAATAAAAAAAAAACAATTTATCTAAAACATAATTTATTCAAATACAGGCATCTCCAAAAAACTCTCTGCATGGCTTCTGTCTTTTGGCATAAGTCAGATATGCTTCTTCAGACACATTATTTTGCATGACTCAAACTTGTAAGCTTTATGTATTTATTAATATTAACCTTAATATTGTATTATGATTTGAAGGTTTTTCCACTTGCTTATGAAATTGAAAGGTGGAACAATCCTACATTTACGACATGCGCTCGGCACAAGGTTCCAGATAACAGAAACTAGTCTGTATGGTGCTGTGTTACAGGTAAGTAAAGGTTTGCGTGCATTATGCATATTTGCTGTTTATAGATATATTAGCCAAGGAATTGCAGGCCACAAATGATGCAGCCTGGAGAGGATTTCTGTCCATTGCAGGTAACTACCTATGAGCGACGCATGTTTTTGGAGATCATACCACACACACACACACACACACACACACACACACACATACACACAAATTACAGATCTATATCTTTGTGGAGACTCTCCATTCATTTCTTTGTGCATAACCCTACAACCTTAACCCCTGCCCAGCCCTAACCATAAGTAACCAAACAAAATTCAAGATATTTGACGTTTTTAGTTTTTTTATTGCAGTCACAGATTTTTATAAAATTGAGTTTCCTCGGGTGGGGATTGAAAAAAATGTCCCCAAAAGGTCAAAATAACAGGTTTTTATCACATTGTGGGGACATTTGGTCACACACACCCACTCACACACACAACAGTGTGAATCACTGAGCCACCATGCTGCCCTGTCTGTAATATACAGCCATCCACGTTCTAACTGCTCACCCAGCACAGAGCTGTGGGACCTGGAATCCTTCCCAGCCAGCGCAGGACGCAAGACTGATGCGCACCCTGGATGAGATGCCAGCCTATCGCATGGATCAGGGCTTCCCAAAGTCCGAACCGTGGTCTGGATGCAGACTGAACCGCAAGTTAATAATCTGGACCCAAGCAGTAATGCATCTTATGAATCAATATGGTTAACATAAAAAAGGTTTAACGTGGTTTAAAGTACAAAAATGCAAGGTACAATCACCAAACTTTTCACACACATAACTGGTAATAATCCCCCCACCATGACAGTCTCAAAACGATCAGTGAGAGTTAAAAAGGTCCCGTTATTGTTATTCATTGATGTGTATATCGAAGGTGGTTGTTATATCATTAAAGCTCGTGAAATTCTGTTTTGTTACTGAAAATTGGTCCTGGCCTCTGACTTTAAGCAAAAATCTGATGTGGACCTTTGACCAATAGCTTAGGGTGTTGGCCATGAAGCTCACCTAGGGCGCTGGCCTAGGGCGCTGGCAGTGAAGTTCACCTAGGGCGCTGGCCTAGGGCGCTGGCCTAGGGCGCTGGCCTAGGGCGCTGGCCTAGGGCGCTGGCCTAGGGCGCTGGC